GAGGGAACAAAACACATATTTAGAGTGCAGGAGATCCCTTTGTTGTCTCACAGTATTACCATGCCCTGTTATTAAGGTTCATGGGAAACTACAAGCCAGTGCAGTCAGGATGACAATTGGCCCAGAACCTTCAGAAATAAATGTATGGGTTACCACACCGGATGGAAAATCCAAGGCCTGCTGAGGTGCTTGCTGAAGGCCTAGGGAATACAGAATGGGTACTAAAAGTTATAAATACCAGCTATGACTGCATGAGCAGTTACAGAAATGAGGAGTATAACTGTCATATATACACATCTATTAAGCAGGTGTTTTGTTTTGTTTTGTTTCTTTGTAGCAAAATGTTGATCGACAATACTGGTTCTTAACTATTGTTAAACCTATCTATCATCTGCCTATCTGTCTGTCTGTCTATCTATCATGTATCTATTTTTTGAGACAGGGTTTTGCTCTGTAGTTCAGGCTGGCCTTGAGCTCACTTTGTAGCCCACGCTACCCTCAAATTCACAGCCATCCTCATAGATCAGCCTCCCAAGTGCTGCGATTACAGAAGTGTGCCACCATGTCTTGCCCTAAACATGCATTATAATATTTATGTTAGGGGATGTCAAGAGAAGAGTAAGCATCACCAAAAGGAAAACTATGTCTTCTATCCTGGGGAGCAAATTAATGGATTTTCACATGTATGCAGGATAGTTTTATCGTGCTAGGCATAATGATAAACTTGCTATTGTATTTGGAGGTTAAGTATGGTTTAAGGAGATGTGACTGGTATAAAGTTGACCAGGGTGGATTGTGACAGTTAACTGTGGTGTGTCAACTTGACTTGCGTGAGAACTGCCTAACAGATTAGCAAAGCTCCACGTGTGTCTGGATGATTGACATGCAGGCCACAAACTGAGGAGGGAAGACCCGCCCTGGTTGTGGGTGGCACCAACCAATCATCTTGTCCCCCAGGAAAAGAAGAAGGAAGTCTTCCTAGTCTCACCTCGGAGGAGCTCTTGTCTTTGCCATCACCTGTGGATATTCATCTCCACTTCCTTCAGACTTCCAATGCAGACCCGGTAGCTTTCTGACAGGAACTCACACTGGACTCTGCAGTGAGCTCTGGGCCTTCAACTTTCAACTGCATCCTCTGGCTCTCCAGCACACAGACAGCCATTTTGTATTCTTCACCCCGGACTCCACAGGCAGCCATTGCAACCGACTGGAAATCCTTTACATAATCATCGCTGTGATATGATGTGAGACAGTACATCTGTTCCTCTAGTAAACCCTAACTGGTCCACAAGTGGATATTAAAAAGTACACTGAATGCTTGTCTTCTTAAAATTTTCTTACAAAAACAAAACAAAACAAAAATACTCTTACAGTAAGAGAAACATTGCCATTATTCGCCCTCAAGATACTTTTCGATCATGCCTCATAAAGGATTCTTATGAGAATAGGAGACTCTGTAGATAATTTGGAGAGTATCGCCACCTTCACAATATTATGAGGTGTGATCAAAACACACAGGGAATGGTTTAAATTTTTCAAAAATGCATTATAGTAAAACACAGATTTCCTTTAATCCCTCTTAAAGTACTTTCCCTTGCTTTGGACACACTTATCCTGTTTTGCTTGCTGTTCTCTGAAGCATCTCTGAAGTCCTCTTTTATGTCTTTGCGAGGTGGTGGAACCTGCTGCTGCATGCTGCCCAACAGAAAGGCAGCTCAGAGAAACAATGCAGTGCATCCTCATCTGCCTCATCCACGGGGTCTGCACAGTGCCGCTCTGGATCTTCCCTACAGTCAAAAGAACAATGAAAGTAAACATTTTGAATCAATTCAGGATGTTGAGACAGCCACCACAGCACAACTACAGACACTCCAGGAAGAAGACTTCCAGAACTGCTTCAGAAAATGCAAAGATAAGTGTGTTTGAAGCAAGAGGGAATGTTTTGAGGGGTGGATGGCAATGTGTCTTTTTTGAATTGCTACCTGATTTTTCATTAGTGTAAGCTCGCACTACACAGTGATTACATTCATTGTCCGGTGTTGGCATACGTATGTCGCACATCTTGATTCTTTTTACTTCCCTCTTCCCTGATCTCCTTTGGCAATGTGTCTTTTTATTGCAATCAGCTTCTATAAAATTTAAACACTCAATGAATTTCTCTATTACTCTTTCAATGGGAGGATGTGTGTAGGTTCCATACGTATACTAGACCATCATTTATGGGGAACTAGAGCATTTACAAACTTTGCTATCTGTCATATGATACAGCACTCAGAGTGCCAGTGGTGTGCGCAGTAAAAGAATTTACCAAAATCATAGCAAGGAAGAAGAGTTTTCAAGTCAACCATAAGAGTGTGGCAGGAGATTTCCCAGAGAGGGTTGAGCCACATGGGAAGAGTAAGGAGCCTTTGAAGGCTGCTTGAGCTTGAGAAAGTCATAGATAAGTCTTCTAGGCTCAGGAAGGGAAGTTAGCGGTTGTGTTTGAAGCCTGGACTTTAAAATGTAAGAGATGGACCATCTGGCAATGAAACTGGGCTCCACATTTCCTCCCTTACAGACCAGAATGGATTGGTAGTGGAATGGTGGGATAGGGGCAGAGCTTGCTTGCTTGCTTTCTCTCTCCTTCCTGCCTTCCTGCCTTCCTTCCTTCCTTCCTTCCTTCCTGCCTGCCTTCCTGCCTTCCTGCCTTCCTGCCTTCCTGCCTGCCTGCCTTCCTTCCTGCCTTCCTTCCTGCCTGC